AGCTTCTCCTTTGTTCTTTAACCTCGGTAGCACCATAGAAACAGCCGTGGTTCCACGGCGTCCTGTGGACCAGCGGTCCCTGGTGGGGAAGCCTTCAGCGGCACTTTTTCTTGAGGGGCCAAAGAGTAAATAGCTTGGGCCTGCAGCCCACACAGTCTCTTCACGTGGACTCAGCTCTGGTGGCAGAGCTGGAAGCAGAAACAAATGACAGGTGAATGGCCCTGGCCCATATGGCTCAGCGGTTGGTACGTCGGCCTGCAGTCCAGAGAGACCCGGGTTCAGTTCCCACTAAGGGCACGTACCTCGGTTGCAGTTTGTCCCCGGCCCTGGTTGGTCGTGTGGGTGGCAGCCACTCGATGTGTCCCTTTCACGTCGATGTTTCTCTCTCTCTCTCTTCCTCTCTCTTGCTCCCACTCTATCTGAACAAAAAATGGAAAAATGTCCTCGGGTGAGGATAAAAAAAAAAAAATGACAGGTGAATGAACAGGCGTGGCTGTGTTCCTTGGAGACTAACAACAGACGGGCTTTTTTAAAATTTTTATTTTATTTTATTTTATGTTATTTTTTGCTCAGGGGTTTGCTGACTCCTATAAAAGTGATTTTTTTAGCCAGTTTGCCAGTTCATGACATGGACCACCACAGTCCAGCCCAGCAAAAGAGCTGAGTTTTCACTACCTTTGAAGAAAAAAACAAAAATAAATGTAAGAATGAATGAAATAGAAAGCTGAATGAGGGAAATCAAGAAAGTTAAAAGTTGGTTATCAAATTTAATAAACGTCTAGCAATACTGATCATTAGAAAAAGAAGAGACAGACTAATGACACCAAGTGCTGGCGAGGACGGGGGAGTTCTGGAGCCTTACTTCACTGTTGGAGTGGCATGCCTGCCTTGGAGAGAGCGGGTGTCAGGTTCTTATGCGACTGAGCACGGACGTACCATATAACCCAGCAATTCCATTTCTGGGTGTTTACCCAGGAAATGAAAATGTTTGTTCTCCCAGGGGCCTACACACACACCTTTATAGCAGCCTTGTTCGTAATCATCCAGAATTAGGAACAACTTGGTGTCCATTAACTGAGACCAGAAGGGCAGGTTGTAGTCTGTGCAGTGGATGCTGTTTGGTCATGGCAAGGAGTAGACTGGTCCTGCAGGGAGCAGCCTGGATGGATCTCGGGAACAGTTTGCTGAGTGAAGGAAGCCAGACAGACAGGTGTGCATACCACAGAAGTTTAGTAAGGCAAAACTGTAGGCACAAAAATCAGACTACTACAGAGTGGCAGGATAGGACTTTTCTGTCTTGACCGTGATAGTGGTTACATGACTGTATACATTTGTCAAAATCAACCTGTATACTTCAGGATAAATTTTATTGCACTCAAATTATATGTAAATACATCTGACAGATAAGGAGGGAGGGAACAAATTACAGGTATTATAAACAGTGACTGCCTCTGTTGGCCAAGATGGAGTGGCAGGGACCAGATTTGCTCTCTCTCCTAAAACAAGCAGAGTGGACGAATATATAAAGAAGACAGTGGACCCCAGGCAGCAAGGAACAGAGATCGCTGAGAGAGAAGGTTAACCCTGGATTTCCTCAGAGTGCTGCCTTGAGAGTTTTCAACCAAGGGAGAGGAACTGAGGCAGAGCCCAGTGTGCTCCGTGAGTGGAGGAGATGGAGCTGAGACTCTGAGAAGACAAAGCTGTTACAGTTCACAGAGCAGGGTGCCAGAGAGACCCTCCCCCAGTATTCAGGTGAATGCCAATCAGTATATCCTGATCAAAGCATTAATTCATATTAGACAACTACCCAAAGCCAGGATCAGAACCAGCCAAAACAATTCAAGGGAATAGTGCTTGTTCCCACCAGCCAGACTGAAAATCTCTCAATTCATGGGAGCACCATTCTGGTCCCACCTAACAAGTCTTCAAAGGAAGAACCACAGGGATCAAGCTCTTTCCAAGTAATCTGACATGGAACAAAGCCCAAGAATTTACAGAAATGCCCTGGCTGGGTTGGTCAGTTGGTTGGAGCGTCATCCCATACACTAAAAAGTTGTGGGTTCGATCCCTGTTCAGGGCATGTGCGGGAGGCATCTTGTCGATGTTTCTCTCTCTCCTTCCCGCCCTCTCTCCCTTCCTCTCCCCTCCACCCTCCCTCCCTCCTGTCTTCCTCTCTCTAAAAATTACTTAAAAGATAAAAATTATCAAAACTAACATAAGAGGAAATAGCAAATCTAATGATTGGATTAAATCCTTAATCCAAAACCTTCACAGGAGGGAAAAAATATAACTTGTAGGCCCAGATGGTTTCAGGGGAAAAGTACCAATCTTACAAAAACTTTTTCAGAAGATAGAGGAAGAAGGAGCCCTTCTCAACATGTTTCATGAAGTAAGCATAACCTAGATCCTAAAATCTGACAACAAAACATATTCCCAGAAAAGAACATTCCAAGCCAATATCCACATGGAAAAATGTCTCAAAACATTCACACGTTGAGTCCAGCGGTTCGTCAGAAGGGTAGTGCATTGTAAGCAAGCAGGTTGTATCTCTGGAGTGCAGGGCTGCTTCATCATTCGAAACCAATCAGTCTCATTCACTGCATGAACTGAGTGAAAGAGAAAAATCATATGATTGTCTCAGTAAGTGCAGGAAATATATGTAATAGAAGTCAACACCCATTTGTGGGATAACTAGGAAGACAGGAACTTCCTCAGTCTGACAAAAGCATAAGCAAAAAGCTTGTTGCTAACCTCATACTTAATGATTCACTTTAACAGTATTTTTCCTAAAATCAGGAATATCAGCATAGTATCAGAAGCCCTAGCCAGTGCACTAAGACAAAAAAATGATAATAATAAGTACAAATATTTAAACAAAGAAATAGAACTTGTCATTATTTGCAGACTGCCCAATTATGCACATAAAAACCCCCACGGAAATACAAAAACTAAGGAGCACAGTTCAGACTGACAGACTTTGTGGGGGAGGGGATGAGATAAACCCAAGAACCTATATGTATAACCAATGAACACAGACAACAATGCTGGGGGGAGGGGGGAAGGGAGGACGGAATGTGGGGAGGGGGGGAGAAACATCTATAACAAAAATTAATTTAAAAAATATTTCAAAAAACTACAAATGCTAATATGTGAAGTTAAGAGCACAAAATAAAGATTAATACATAAAAATTGTACTGCTATAGAGTAGCAATGAATAACTAGAAAATGAAAATTTAAAAACAATGCTATTTACAGTAATATTGAAAACCACAAGTACTTAATAAATGGAATGAAGGTATACATTAAAAATCACAAAACAGCCCTGGCCAGTTTGGCTCAGCGGTTAGAGCGTCGGCCTGCGGTCCGGAGAGACCCGGGTTCGGTTCCCGCTAAGGGCACGTACCTCGGTTGCAGTTTGTCCCCGGCCCTGGTTGGTCGTGCGGGTGGCAGCCACTCGATGTGTCACTTCACGTCGATGTTTCTCTCTCTCCCTTCCTCTCTCTCCCTCCCACTCTATCTGTACAAAAAATGGAAAAATATCCTCGGGTGAGGATAAAAAAAATCACAAAACAGCCCAGCCGGTGTGGCTCACTGGATTGAGCGTCATCCCATGGCCTGAGAGGTCCTGGTTCGATTCCCCGTCAGGGCACATGCCATGGTTGCAGGCTCAATCCCCAGTGGGGGATGTGTAGGAGCAGCCAATCCATGTTTCTGTCTCACATCGATGTTTCTATCCCTTCTTATCTCTCCTAAAAAAAAATAAAATAAAATATATTATAAAAAATTTTTTTAAGTCACAAAACGTTGCTGGGAGAAATTGAAGAACTCTGTAATAAATGAAGGAATTTGCCATATTCATGGAGTGGGGAGTTGAAGACTCACTGTTTTTAAGATAACTTCCCCCTGCCCCAGATACGGTACAGTCCCAGTCAAAATCACAGTAGGCTTTTCTGAAGAAATTGACAACTGATTCTGAAGTCGTCTTGAAATTACAAAGAAATAGAACAGTCTTGAGAAAATGACAATGTTGAAGGATTCTGGCTACCTGATTTCAAGACTCACGGTAAAGCTGCAATAACCAAGACAATGTGATGTGGTCATGAGGAGAGACCAGAAGGAAAAACAAATCAAAGAAGCAAAACTGAAAAAAAATAGGAATCCAGAAATAAATCCATCATGGCACCAAGTCCATTCAGTAGGGAAGGAAAAGGTTTAGACAAATAGTTTTAAAACAACTGAAGATGAAATGAAATTAACCTCTATGTCAGCCTCATAAAGTACACAAAAATGAATTCTAGATGGATGATAGACCTAAATGTCTATAATAATACTTCTAGAGTAAAGCTTCTTTGAAGAAGCTATTAAAGAACATCTTCATGACTTTGGAATACACAAAGATTTCTTAGGTCACAAAAAGCACTGACCATAAAAGAAAAACATCATAAACTAGACTTCATCAAAGTTAAAATTAATTTTAGTCAATATATTTAAGAAGATTAATAGGAACATCACAGACTGGGAAAATATATTTGTAATAATATAATATCTGACAAAGGATTTCTCTCCAGAATATGTTTAAAACCTACAAATCAGCCCTGGCCGGTTTGGTTCAGCGGTTAGAGCGTCGGCCTGCGGTCCTGAGAGACCCGGGTTCGGTTCCCGCTAAGGGCATGTACCTCGGTTGCAGTTTGTCCCCGGCCCTGGTTGGTTGTGCGGGTGGCAGCCACTCGATGTGTTCCTTTCACGTCGATGTTTCTCTCTCTCTCTCCCTCCCACTCTACCTGAACAAAAAATGGAAAAATGTCCTCAGGTGAGGATAAAAAATAAATAAATAAATAAAACCTACAAATCAAGTATAGAAAGAAAATCTTTTAAAAAAATGGACAAAAGACTTGAATGAACATTTTACAAAAGATATTAAATGACCAATAAAGTACGTGGAACGGTGCTCAACATCATTATTCATTACTCATCAGGAAGATGCTACTTAAAATTACATGGTGTGTTTGCTTCAGCTGCACATATAATAAAATTAGAACATACAGAGAAAATTAGCATGGCCTCTGAGCAGGGATGACTTGCAAATTCATGCTGTGTTCAAATTTGTTTTTAATTCCCAAAGGCCCTCTCATCCTCTGCTGATTGTTTCCAAGGAAACAATGAGTTAGAGCACAGCATGTGGTACCCGATTTGAAATCATGATTTTCACAAAATTAAAAAGTACAGGGTGATTCCATTTCTCACCTTCTGAAATAACTAAAATGAGAAGGCTGACAATACTAAATGTTGATGAGGATGTGGACCAACTGGAACTCTCATTCATTGCTTATTTGGGAAGTGATGTAAGTTTCTTGTAAAGTTAAATGCATTTCAGCCTAATGAACTAACTCAGGAATTAACTTGTCTGGAAACATTTGTGTAAGAATGTTTATTGCAATTTTTCATGATAGCCACAAACTAAAAATAACCCAAATGTTCACCAACCATGAGATAAATTGATTGTGATACTCACGTACAACAGAATACTCCTCAGAACTTAAAGGAACAAATAACAAAATGAGTGGATTCCAAAAGCAGTTTGTTCAGTGAGAGACACAAAAGAATATAAATATGTTGCTCCATTTGTATGCAGCCCAAGAATAAGTGAAACTAATCTGTGTTGTTAATCAGAAAGTTGTAGTCTTTGGGGAGGTATGGAGGTTGGTTGACTCACTACCTGGAGCAAAGGAATTTTTACATGCTGTTTGGGTGGGAGTTATATGGGTATACACAATTGTCAAAATTCATCTACCTGGACACTTAAAATCTGTGCACTTCAATGTATGTAAATTAGACCTCAATTAAAATGTTGAAAAGATTATTAATGCACACATCTACTAGGAAGGCCGAAGAACATGGCATCGGGTCATGCAGGTGAGAACACTGCTTGAAGTTGAGCTGGTGAAGGGGCCCAGTGGTGAACAGGTGCGGTACTGCAGATGTAGACCCCTAGAATCCACTCCTGCGAAACTGCCTCCTGTGACCTCCAGTGAGGAGCACGCCCTTGACTTCCCAAATACGCAGCAGAGCAGATATGCCCAATATCAGTCAATTGTGTATCATTTCACACATTTCTACTTAGAACTGTTACATAAACTTAAGGAGCTATGTGCGCGTACTCGATCGTACCAAGAGCAGAGCATATGAATCACTGAAAAGTGAAAGCACCACGCGGCCGAAGTGTTAGAATAAGTGTGTGTTGGATTTTCTGTACTGTCTGAGGTGTGAGTCTGCATACCTACAGCTGAGATTTAAATGTGACTCACTTGTTCAGTAAGTACTTAATACCTAACACATGATACTCTCATACCAACACATATACCAAGAAAAACTAATTTTAGTATAATCGTTTATATAAATGATTACATAAATCATGTAATTTAGTAGTCTATGAGTAACATATTATACAACTGAATTTTAAACTTAATCCTCTTTTCTGATTAATATAATTTGCATTTTCAAACATACTTTTCTTCATTTCTGATAAGCTTTGGTTGGAGTGAATAACTTTACTTTCCTGCTGGTCCTTTCTGCAAGTATTTGATGATCTGTAAATACCTGGGAGCAATTCTGTGCGTTGGGGATCTCCTTATTTACAGAAAATCCTGCTTGCATTCTTTAGCAAAGTGAAGGTTTTGTTAGATAAGAACTACTAATGTGTATCTTGTATTCTCAGATCCTTGTACCTTAAGGTTTTTGAAATTTGGAAACACCTGCATATTAACTCCCGTCTGCGTCTTCATGTACCCTTAACAATGGAGCAGACGGTCTTGCTCCAGATGTGTTTCTCCTCCACACATCTGCAAGTTAGGAAATCAGTTCCTAATCACACGTATTTTCTTCAAGATACAGCCTTGAACCATTATGACAACATTTATGACTTAAAATAATTTAAAGAGAATATTGACTTACTTTAGTTCCAGTTCCTCTTTAGGATTTGAGGAATCCAGGGCATTACTTAAACCACTGCATTTATCCTAAAGAGATCCAGTAGGCCTGTGTGCCTTCCAGCTGCACACGCCTCTGCTGACCTGTTCTTCTCCACCTTCGAGTCGCTTCAGCTTCCTAAGATAAAGGTGCTGAGAGAAAGCAGTAGCCATAATTACCATGAGGAAGGGAGGAACAGAGAGGAGGGCGGGATCATCATTTTATATCTGGAATCATTGGTTTTTTTTATAACTCCTCCAAGTTGAGTGGTGGTAGTTTTTTCAGTCTGGTTTTGTTCATCACCAAGACTCTTGGTGTATTGCTGCTGTTGCCACCTCTGGAGTCGGCCTGGTTATGTGACTGTAGGGAGAGGACAGATGGGGCCACGCAGACGGAGCAGCTGTGTCAGCCCAGGTGCCAGGGGATGACTTCTGCTGCTGTGTTTCTGGGGAAAACAGACTCTCAAAGGAGTTTGCCTAAGTTGTTGCTTTCTGCAGTTTTCCCACCATGCCAAGGTGGATAATTTAATAGGGGCAGAGGTGGGTACCAAAACCATGGACGGAGGTGTCTTTGGGGTCAGCCGCCAGGAGGGTTAGCACAGGGTGCTGAGCTAGACCACACACGAGCCTGGTGTCCTGTAGTTTGGTCCCTTCATGCTGCAGATGTCCTTTGGCCTCTTTCCTGTACCTGATCTTACAGGTGAGGAGGCTAGACACCCAGTGTAGATGTAAACACTTCCAGGTTCCCTTCATACTGTAATAGGAGACTTTGAACCGTCTCAATGTTCATAATTCATACTCCCTACTTCTCTTGAAAAAGAAACTTTTAAAAGTTACCATAGCCCTGGCCAGTTTGGCAGTTGGAGCATTGGCCTGTGGACTGAGGGGTCAAGGGTTCGATTTCGGGTCAAGGGCACGTACCTGGATTGCAGGTTCAATCCCTGGCTGCAGTCAGGGTTGTGCAGGAGGCAACCAATTGATGTGTCTCTATCATACTGATGTGTTTCTCTCTCTCCTTCCCCCCCTCCTTTCCACTCTCTCTCTCTCTCTCTCTCTCTCTTTTTTTTTATCTTTACCCGAGGGCACTCTTGCATTTATCTTCAGATATAGCAGGAGAGAGAGAGGGAGGGAGAGAGAGAGAGAAACATCGACGTGAGAGAGACTCTCATCGAGTGGTTGCCACCCACATGACCCCAACCAGGGCCAGGGACAAACTGCAACCGAAATACATGCCCTTAGCGGGAACCAAACCCAGGTCTTCTGGTCTGCAGGCCGATGCTCTAACCGCTGAGCCAAACCGGCCAGGGCTCCACTCTCTCTTAAATAGACAATGGAGAAAACTCTTAGGTTAGGATTAACAAAAATAAAATAAATAAAAAAGTAGCATAAAATTTTAACTACCCAGTAATATCATTGAACCTTATGTGTTAAAAAAAAAGAAAAAGGACGCAGGTCTGTGTGTCCATGGCCAGTCATCTATTACTCTCTTCTGTTGCTTTGTGGATATGTTGACATCTTTTTAAGATTTTTTCCCTTTTAGCCTTTAATGGCACAGTGGTTGATTTTAACGATTTCCATATTTGACATTGTTTTTGACCTTTTTACTTTGTTCCCTGCTTGTTGCATTCTCCTCTCTACCCCTTCCTCTTCTTCATCCCATTTTTGACTGTTGGGTTGTTTTGTTTCTGTCTGTTGTGTGTCATTTCGGTTTCTGTCGGTCTGGTGTTCTCTCCTTTCTCTGGTTCCCCACTCCTGCTGCTGTAGCCCCACAGACTGTGGAAGCTGGCCGAGCAGGTAGGGATTCCCCCTTCACCCACGCGGTGCCCACCTGCCCGCCCCCAAGTGGGACAGACTCGGAGTGGAGTGCGAAGCCTGCCCGGGGTTTCAGACCCCGGTGGAGAGGCGGGTGCCCAGCGTGGCCCCGCCCCCAGCCCCGCCCTGGCCATCCAGGCTCTGATGATGCTGTGGGCTCATTCACTGCGCAGGGCCCAAGATCTCTGCCATCTGGGGTCATCTTCATTCTACTTCATTTTCCACTTTTAGTGACCTATTTTCTGATGTGTGTACTTATTAGTTGGCCCTCTGTGGTAACGTGTTTTGCATTATTCAGAACCTCAAGCCACCTCTCCACTCCGCGCTCGTCTGTGACAGCCCCACTGAAGGGGGATGGGGGGTGGGGGTGGGGGTGCGCTTCGCCCTGTACCGGGGAGCGGGCTCCGGCCAGCGGCTGCTGCATGTGCTCTCCCTGTCTGGGTGGGGAGAGCCCAGGATTGCTCAGTAGGATAGTGTGTCTTAATGAAGATGTCGTTATTTTTTTTTTTATTTCTTTTTAGATATACAGACATGCCTTTGGTACAAGATTAAATTCTCTTCTTAGAATCTTAGTTCTCCAGATAAATTCAGAGGGCTCCCTTATTTTTAGGCAGATTTGCCTTAGGTTCCATCTTTTTCTACCCAAGATACTGCATTGCCTTCCCAAGAAATTACATAGATTTTTGGCTCGTAATGTAGCTTGAATGATACTGCTTTGACGTGGACAGAGCTCCACTCAGCATGTTTTGAAGGGATGTGTGGTGCAAGATCAGATCTCTGGACCCCTTGGTTAACTAAGTACATAGTGAGACAGCTCAAACCACTGAGTGCTGCCCCGCCAGCTCGTGGTAAACCCCGACCTCCTTGACCAATGTCACAGACAAAAATAACCTCCTGCAGCTGGGGGAAACCAAGACACAAGTAGAACTAAAAGGAACAAGATAATTATCTCTTATCTCTTCTTTAATCTGTCCATTCATGTCACATGTTCTCCTTCAGTATCTCCAGCTATTTCTGGGTGCACATGGCCAGGTTTTTAGCAAATGAAGCTTCACACCCTTGACGGCCTGCTTTGGCCAGACCAGCGTTGTCTCGGCAGTTTCAGTGCTTTTATTTTGTTTTCTTTTTGGAAAGATGTGTGGCATGCCTCCTTTCTGGTTTTCATACATGTGATTGACGGTCAAGGTGTGGGGAAGCCCAGCATCATTCTGAGTTCCTTTCAGAACTGAGGTTATCAAACTGAGAGTTCACAGGTATCTTGGAGAGATGTGGTTTCAGCTCTTTTCACTTTTGTTCAGTTTCAGATTTCACCTAGGATGTGCTTTCTAGCTGGTAGGAAACAGACCCAGCTTCCCCACACACGTGAGTTAACTGCACCGTGTCCTTGCTTGCAGGGGACCTCAGGACCTGATCCAACCACCGTCTATGTTGACATGAGAGCTCTGAGACACGACAGGTATGATGCGCTGTGATGTTTTCTTGGTTGCCAGACGTGCAGGGCCCCATCTAGAAACGGAGGGGCAGTAATGTTTCTGCATCAACTACAATCACCTTATGGGCAAAGCAGTGGAGGTGGGCAAGTCGGCTTAAACTTAGACTCGCCCCACATTCTGTTTTGTTAACATACCCAATAGGCCAATTGACTTTTTGTCTGAAGATGCAAATGGCCCGGCCAGTGTGGCTCAGTGGTTGAGCGTCGACCCATGCACCAAGAGGTCGCCAGTTCATTTCCCACTCAGGGCACATGCCCAGGTTGGGCACCCGATCCCCAGTGGGGGGCATGCAGGAGGCGGCCAGTCGATGTTCTCTCTCATCAATGTCTCTCTCTCCCTCTCTCTCTCACTTCCTCTCTCTCTAAAATCAATAAAGGAAAAATATATTATTTTAAAAGATGCGAACGGAAATTGTTGCATCATAGCCAGGTGCAATCAAGTTGCTTTTTCTCAGCTTAACCAGAGCACTTGATTCTTTTCCTCAACAGTTTCAGTCAGGCACCATTTTACACCTCATAAAATATCAACATTTCTTTACATGAATTGACATTTTTTTTGTCAAGGAGTTCCCATGAAAAAACTAAAAACACAAGTCAAATTACCTTTCCTAAGCAGCCTTGAGCAAGAATGAAGGGTGGTGGTATTGATGGGTGATTGTAAGTTACCCTCAAGGAACTTGATAGTGCCCAGGGAAATACTGGTTGCCTCCCTGGCCCCTGTAGCCCTTGTTTTAGACCCAATTGTTCAAATTGCAGAGGTTAGAGTCCGTCTGTGGGAGCCCCCCCAGGGGGCTGAGTGTCCATCCAAAGGGTATCAGCTGCACTATAGCAAAATCCCATCTGGACCATTTTCAAAATTCAGAAACTTAACTTGAAAGAGATTAAGTAAGGAATTCATATAAATTTCTTAGTGTAACATCTAGGCTTTAAAACAAATCTATTTTATTCTTTATAAAAATGATTTGAAGTCCGACCGATATGGCTCAGTGGTTGAGCATCGACCCATGCACCAAGAGGTCGCCAGTTCAGTTCCTGCTCAGGGCACATGCCCAGGTTGTGGTCCCAATCCCCAGTGGGGGGCATGCAGGAGGCGGCCAGTTGATGTTTTCTCTCATGGACGTTTCTCTCTCTCTCTCCTTTCCCTTTCTCTCTCTCTGAAATCAATAAAAGGAAAAAAATAATTTGAAAATAAGTTTATGACTTCAAAAGGTAAACAGAAGCTCATCAAAGACCCTGTGTGAGTGACATTTAGGCAGTTCTGGCTGGCTGGCCCCCGGAACACAGGAAAACACACGGTGAGACCGTGTAGAGAACTGCTCACCTGCGGGTCTTGAGAACACGTCCTACAGCTTCAAACCCACGTATCTACAAGCACGGGCATCGTAAGGGGCACTTACCTCATCTGTACTGAGTGTCCCAGAGTAGCAGGATGGTTGAGAGCAGGGACTAGGGGATACTTCTTTCCTGGAAAATGACGGAAACATAAAGGACTTCTTTCTAACAAATTTTGAACCCACCCGTTTAGCTGTCTTCAGTGTGGAAAGTCTTCCTATCAAGAAAAGGTATGATTTAGTAAAAGTGAAATAAACTTTGGACCAGTACCGTGTACGACAGTAAAATGATAAAATTTCAATGTCAGACCAGCACCTGCTCTGGAAAGAGCTTCCTGGTGATTTACTAATTCTTTGAGTTTAGCAAGTCCATAATCCTCCTAAGTGACACTTTTTTCCTAATCTGTAAAATAATCTTGAATACATACTTCTCCTTTACAAGATCACCCAAAATAGAAGCGACAGTGCTTTGTGAACTGAGAGTTGCTCTGCAGTTGTGTGTGACTAAAGATAGCCACTGGCAACGTCAGTGATGGTTACAGAGACCCTTAATGCTGCCCCGGGAGCCAGCCCCAGCCCCAGCCCCAGCCCCAGCCCCGCCCCAGCCCCAGCCCCAGCCCCAGCCCCAGCCCAACCCCAGCCCCAGCCCCAGCCCCAGCCCCAGCCCCAGCCCAGCCCCAGCCCCAGCCCCAGCCCAGCCCCAGCCCCAGCCCCAGCCCCAGCCCCAGCCCCAGCCCAACCCCAGCCCCACCCCAGCCCCTCCAGTCGTCCCCATCTGCCCTGTCCAGGCCACTCAGGTGAAAGCCTTCAGAACCACACCTGAACCTTGTTGCCTCGGTTCGGTCACCCCTCTGTCCTGCACACTCTCCCAGCTGTGCGGCTCCTAGTCTCAGTTCTCTCCTGCTTCGAAGGACAGACGAACGCGGCTGGGAGCTGAGGGGAGCTGGTCAAACACCGAAATGTCTGCAGTAGACTTCATCTTCTTCAGTGTTTGACTCACAGAAACCAAAGCAAAACCGTGCCCTGGAGCATCCTGGAACACCTTCTGGGTGCTTTCCTTCCCAGCGCTGCTCCCAGGCGCTCAGACCACAGCGTGTGTGTGTGTGTGTGTGTGTGTGTGTGTGTGTGTGTGTGTCCCCCCCCCCCCCCCCCCGCCTTCTCCCGGGTGCCCCAGCACCTCCCACCACAGCTTCCCCCCACCTTCTCCCGGGTGCCCCAGCGCCTCCCTCCACAGCTTCCCCCCACCTTCTCCCGGGTGCCCCAGCGCCTCCCTCTTCGTGCCTGGCTCCTGCCCCACCCTCTTCCTTTCACTCCCCTTCTCTACAACCTGTGGTGGGAGGTTTGGACTTGGACCTTTGCTCACACCCCGCTTCCCCAGAAGGCAGAGCTGGTTCTTCGTCCTGCCCCGTCCTGCCGGGCCCCTTCTTCTGAAGGGGGCAGGAAATCTCAGAAGCACCTCTTCCCCCTTCTGGTAGACACCATGGCCCGAGGCTCTCTGTGCCCCGAGGCCCCTCCTGTTTCTGCCCCTCCCTCCACTCTGTTGAAATTCTCCCCTTTCAAGCTCAAATACTGTCTCCTCGGAATCTCCCCTGGTGGGAATACCATCAGGCTTGAACTCTCCAGCATCTCTGCTGACCTGAACATGCATCAGGTGTGCCTTGTGCTGTAGCTAATGTGACGAAGGCTCTGGGATCTGATCAGTCGGAGTTCAGCTCTCCTCTCTCCTCTGTCCTGGGACAAGCTCTGTAACCTCATGCGCAGTGCTCAGAACGGGCACCGTAAAACAACCTCCAAGGGGCCCGGGAGGTGCCAGCAGGGGGGACGCCATCCCTGGGGGCCCAGCAGCAGGAGGCTGTGCTCCCCATGGAGACCCTCTTTCCCACGGAGCACTCGCCTGTGTATCCAGACTGGGGTGACCCAGGGAGATGGAAGGGAGCTTGTGCACTCCAAGGCCTGAGCTGGGGGTGGGGGTGTGAAGCAGGAGAGCCTTTTAAGATAGTGACCCTATCTCTCTTGTCACTATCTCATTTTTTTTTTTTAATGGGGCTTTTATTTTATTTATTTATTTATTTTTCTCACCTGAGGACACTTTTCCATTTTATGTTCAGATAGAGCAGGAAGGAGAGAGAGAAAAACATCGACGTGAAAGGAACACATCGAGTGGCTGCCACCCACACAACCCAACCAGGGCCGGGGACAAACTGCAACCGTAGTACATGCCCTTAGCGGGAACCGAACCTGGGTCTCCCTGGACCACAGGCCAATGCTCTAACCACTGAGCCAAACCAGCCAGGGCTAATGGGGCTTTTATTTTTGTAGCTTGAGCCGTGCATGTGTACCTCATTTTTTTACACATTGAAGGTAAGACTCTCCGCCAACAAAAAGAGGGCAATTCTCTCGATTGCGACACTCGCTTACTGTGGCCGTCTGGAACCGGACCCCACATCTCTGCTGTCTGCCTGGACCCATATCCAGTCACAGGGTCAATTACTTTTCTGTTGCTTTAGTACATTCACCTGGGACCGCCAGGGCACCTGCCCAGGTAGCACTTGATTCAGGTGGACAAGGTTACCTCAGACGTGCGTGGTCTCCTGAGGCGTGTGCGTGTGGGGGCCAGGCCGGGAGGGAGGAAGGGGAGGACCACTGCCGCCCGTACCCCAGCGGAGTGGTTTTCCAAACAGGTTTCATTCCTGCCTGACTTCCTGCCTTTGTTCTTAATACCTGGTTTTTCTGTCTTGGAGTCGGTGTTTTTCGTTATCTGTGGGTTGCCACAGGGGACATTTCGGCCTCACAGCATGAGAACTACTCACCTGCGAGAACTTCTTCTCCTGCTTCCGGACTAGATTTAGTTCCTACGTGCACCAGAGGGGAAATGATGAAACTGTTGTGAGATTCTCTGATGGTGACTGTTAGTTTTTAAAGTATGCTTTAAATTCGCAGTCTTTAAGACAAATTCGCAGTCTGTCAATCACTTTCAATTTGCTCTTTCCTTGAGCACTTGAGTTTTGCAGATAGCAAAGAAAAAAATGTTTTTTTCATCATTTAATGTCATAGTTTTAGGATTTAAATCTTATAAACACAATGTTTGCATAAAGGCCTTAAATGAAATCTTTCATAGCCTCCTTACTCCCCCCTTTTTTTTTTAAACCCCTCACCCGAGGATATTTTTTTATTTATCTTCAGAGAGGGAGGGTGGGAGAGAGAGAAACATCGACATTAGAGGGACACATCGACTGGTTCCCTCTCCAGGGTGTGTGCCCTTGACCAGAATCAAACCTGCGACTCTGTAGTCCACGGGCTGACACTCTAACCACTGAGCCAAACTGGCCAGGACCCTTCTTACTTTTTTTAACCTGAAGTCATTGAAGCCTCAGCAGAGCATGGGTGGTAAATCATTCCTGGTCAGTGGCTGGCCCACGATCATAGGACAGGAGTGCACCCGTGACTGTGACTGGTTGGGGGAGGGAGTGTGTGGAGACACAGCAGCTGACAAGGCCCGGCCCTAGGTCAGGCCTGTGGGTGTGAGAGAGCATGTGAAGAGGGTTTGCTGGGAGGCGGCTGGAGTCTCCGCCTCATCTCTCGGCTCATCGCAGCCATTGCCCAGCAGACCTGGGGCAGGACCTTCCGTGGAGT